ATGTCATTATACAGTTGTCCACCCCACCGAATGTACAACACAGAGAGTGAACCCTAATGTAAACTATGCACTTTAGCTAACACTAATATATCAATACTGGCTCATCAATTGTAACAAATGCACCACACATATGCAAAATGTTCATAACAGGGAAAACTGCAGGGGGCAGGAGGCGGGGGGGTGGTCTCGGTACATCTCACTCCATTTTTCTATTAACAAAAACTGCTCTAAAAAAATAAAATCTACTAATTTAAAAAACAAATTGCTATTACAAGCCACAGAGAGCACCTGTACAGTATTGTTACAACGCAAGGGAAGAAAAACCCTGGTCATCTCATGACTTTCACCTGACAGCTTCCTACCAGCTTCCAGCTGGACAGCAGAGGAGTCGCCTGGGTAAAAACTGAAAAGGTAGCCTTCCAACTAAAAGGAACCACAAATGAGGACTGACAACCACAAATTAACAGGATAAGTAACACACGCGGATCCAATTTGCTTTCGGCATCAATGATAAGGAAATTCCTGGAAAAGCAGGGAATAGAGAACCTAGGAGAATTTAGAAGTGACAACGTTCACCAAGAAGAGAGAAGCAGGACAGGCAACTAGACCCTGGAGTCCCTGCCGACCTCTGCCCTCAGTGTCCATCCTTGAACACATGCCCCAGTGACAGGTTAGAGTCACCCAGGCTGACCACCCAAACCTCTCGTCGCTCAGCTGTGAGAGAGATCCACCCACACGAGGGAAGCAGAAGGGGCTATGCCAGGGAATGATTCAGAGAGGGCTCCCCAGGCACTGAAATGCACAGCTTGGTTTCCCCAACTTCCAGATTCCCTGATGAGACACCATGACCTGCAGGAAAAAGCACGAGCCAAGGAGTCAGGAGACTAGGGTTGGTTCCACTACCTCAAAACAGATGCCATCAGCCAAAGGACAAGCTGCCCTTTCCTTTCATCTGCAAAACAGGGATAATACTTGCTCTAGAGCTACAGAAGGTTAGAGCTGGGATAGACTCATCATACAGGTGAGGCAAACTAAGTCCAGGGAGATGCAGTGACTTGTACAAGGTGGCACAGCTGGATGGCGAAGTCACACCTGGGTAAAAGTGTTTTGGAAAATTAAATTCATGAAATAAACGGAAGCTGTTGCCAGTGCTATCACCTTGCTCCTGCTCTGCTCTAAGGTGAGCATCTCCCATTAGAGTAGGCTCTCGGCAAGTGTCAGCTGCATCGCTGGCCCTAGATGGTTGTGTTGCTTTCTGAAGTTACAGAGCCAGGAAGAGAAGCTCTTGGCCACTTCCAGGGTCTAAGGCAACAGAATCGAGACCCGGGAGATAACACGATTGGCCCCATTCTCCCCTTTGCACTTCTACACTCCAACAGCAATAAGCAATGAGGTTTCCTTGGGAGAGTGAATCTGTTTTGTCAATAATAATTCCATCTTTAGTCGATGAAGCACACTAAGCCAACAATCCACTAAGAGCATGAAAGAGACTCATTTGGCTTTAGCTTTGACATACCCATTCCAAGTTTTAATTCAGTTTCCAGACCTTTTGTCCTCTAACCAGTTTAACTAACATACAAACATATTCCCATACGGCCTCCAAAACAGATTATTACCAACAGACTGGAAAATGACGCAAATGTAGTCCATCTACATAAGTGAAACAAGTTTAGCCAAAGGGATAGTTTGTGTGGCTTTAATTATGGGGATGGGTTATGTCCACAGGGCCGAATTCACAATTGCAAGCTTTAGCAATTTCCCCTAGTTCTTTCTTGACCCAGGCCTTGGGTGGGTCCAATCTTTTCACTTCGAGAGCTCCCCACTCCCACTCCACATACACAGATGGCAAAGCCAGCACTGTTCATGTCCATCTTCTTTGGTCTCCATTGGCATGATTAGGAGAACACCAGAGACAATTCAGCTCTGTGTATTTTTTATGAGAAATGAGTCAATAATTTCTTATTTCTCTCCACACTCTCCCAGAAAAATAACCTAGAGCAGAGAGAGCGGCAATCTTAGCTTAGTGACTCCACAACAGATCACGGTTAAGAGAGCATGTGGTGGATGTGAACCTCCTAAGCTATTAATCAGAATTCTCCCACCAAAGGGATTTCCCCTCGGCCTGATCCAGATTTGACAGGTGGGATGCCCTTCAGACTCCCCCTGCCCCGCAATCCCTTCTAACCACCACCAGCCAAACCACTACCCAAATACTGTGCCTTCAGAAAGGTAAAGTAGCATTATCCCCAAGATGTAGATAGGAAAACTGTGATCCAGAGACGCTAAATGACATACACAATGCTCACAGCTGTCCTACTAGGTGATACAAACAGGACTAAAAGCCAAATAGTCAGTTTCCTCACATTGATCTCCTTCCACACCACCACAATTGCAATGAACGGGCAGTATTTTGGGTGTCGGGACAAAGCTTTAAAAGAAATTGCCAAATATAAAATCAAATCTTTACAGAAGCAAATCATAGGTATAATCCCCTAATATTTACATTATTATTTATGATCAAGAAGTAGTATTAAGAGCTTTGATAGTAAACCCTTTTACAACTAGAAAGCTACAGATAAGTGATATTTTCCTATCACTGATCTATTTCATGAATCTAGAAATCAGAAACTACTATTGGGATATTCACAAATAATGGCAAAAGATTGCCAACCCAATGTACACAGTCCCTGGGGAGAAGCTCTCTGTTCTGTGAACCTACCAGGTAATATTGACACATTTACATATGTGTTTATAGTTCTGCCCATTTTTAATAAGAATCTGTGGAAGCTAAAGAACTGTTCTATTTATTTGCAAAATTTTAGTACCATTACTATAAAAACAACTCAAGTGGTTTTTTCAAGTTTCATTTTCCATATCTGTATAAAAAGCTCTTTTTGATTGAGATAATTCATTTGAATTACCTTAGCCGAAATGATATTTTCCTAACATAAAATCTTCTAGAAATGTGCTTACAGAGAAAAATATCCATTTCCAACATGTACTAAAATTCACATTTAAGAATTCCAGCATTCACTTTAGAGATGATTCTGCTCTTGTAAATTATCAGTCTTAACTCGTTTAATCCCCCTAGAAAATCTACACAAGCCACCCAGAAAATTAGTCCTTGGGATTTTGAAGTATATTAAAACACATCACCCAGATAAAAGCATAGACTGTTCTGGATCTAGAGCGTCTGAGCACCTAAACTCTCTCCTTCTAGCTCTATGTTTAACAGCATTTTGTAGGAAGAGCTACTCTTCACTGGAAAGAAAAGTGGGAGGTAGTCTGGTTCTCCCAGAGAGGAGGCTAGTCTCCTTGCCACTGCTGGTACTGAGCTAAAGGCCAAGAGGCATCATTATGCCACCAGTAAGACATGGAGTCATTGGCCAGGGCATGATATCCCGGCAGGGAGCAGGCTCTTCCTTCCAACTGTTTCACGATTGAGTCCTGTGAGCCCTTGCACCCTGAGAATGTGTCACTCCTCAACTCAGCCTCCAGGTGGCTTCCTAGATTACCCACCCAGTTAACAACCCAGCCAGACTGAGTCCGTGGGATCCTCTGCAATCCGACCGAGGCAATGAGGGCCTACAGCTGAACCAGGCTGAAGACTTATCAAATGAACTGCGTTATCTTAATCCACCCGGAGTGTTAACCAGGAGTATGAAAAAGAAAGAACAATTCCCATACAACACAAACTAGATAAGAATCTGACATTTTTCTTTGCAATGACTTGACATCCTTGCTTTTTCAAAGGAGAAAATCACTTTAACCAGCCCAGTGGCCCTTCTTGCTGCAACATGTCCCAGGCAGCCATTCAGACAACGACTGAGCATGTCCTAATTCTAACACATTTACAGGGCATTTATCTTCTTTTAATTCCTTCCATTGCCTGCAGGACTAACAATCCAAAGTAGTTGCTATAGTTTGGACGTTTGTCCCCTCCAAACCTCATGTTGAAATGTGTGACCCCCCAATGTTGGAGGTGAAGCCTAATGGGAGGTGTTTGGGTCATGGGGGCAGATCCTCCATGAACAGATTAATGCCCTCTCTCAGAGGTGAGTGGGTTTTCACTCTATTAGTTCCAGAGAGAGCTGGTTGTTAAAAAGAGCCTGGCAACTCCCCTCTCTCTCTTGCTTCCTCTCTTGCCACGTGATCTCTGCATATGCCAACTCCCCTTCAACTTCTGCCATGAGTGGAAGCCCTCACCAGATGCCCAATCTTTAACCTTTCAGCCGTAATAATTGTGAGCCAAACAAACCGTTTTTCTTTGTAAATTACCCAGTCTCAGGTATTCCTTTCTAGCAATACAAAATGGAGTAAAACGGCAGTATAATCCAAAAGCACCACCACGCCTCTTAACCACAAGCTGGTATCTTAGCATCTCAGCAAACAGTTACCTCCAAAACTTATTTTTAGCAAAGAAATAACTCATTCCAAAATTTGTGGAAGGAAGGAAGGAAGGAAAGAAAGCAGCAGCAAATTTAGGAAAAAATGGTACCCCTGTTATAAGAAGTTAATCAGCTATCAAACAGCCAAAGGTCAGCAGCAGATAAAAGTCCCCATAATTAGAATAATCAACAAATAGGTAGACATTCAGCAATTGAATAACAGTGTAAGATTCACCAATGCAGTGGCCATGCATACCTGCTCCTGCAGCCCCACCACCCGAGCCAGTGGCTTGCATTCACATGGAGTAAGAGTAAGCCTTCTGTCTCTTTCACACCCATTCACTGACATGCAGAGCCGCCAAACCTCCAAAGGATAGGAACAGCAGGCAAGGGTATCTGTCAAGCATGCTCCCTCTGTTCTGGACATCAGTCATGCTAGTTCCCACCCATTTAATTACTCTGCTGTTAACCACCCACATTTAATTCAGTTTTAAAGACATGACAACAAGGTCTGAGATTTGAGGGATGTACCTGACTCTCTCTCCCCTCCAGTGGTGGTGGAATCTGATCAGCAAAACCAATCTTCCCTGGATCACCCATAAAGGCACTAACCTCATCCACGTTCTCAAAAGCGTTGATGACATCATATGGCAAACAGGACAGAAGATCAATCACAAACCACGTCTTCAGGTAGTTCATGCGGATAAGTTTGGGGTCGGAAATCACCTCCCCCGCTGGTCCAACAAAGGTGGTATGAAAATTGAGCACAATATCCACCAAAAAGATGACATCCACGATGCTGTCCACAACCAGCCAGGCCACATTGTTCTGCCTGGTTTTAAAGGAGACATTGTAAGGGACCAAGATGGCTGTATAGAAGGTCAAGATCAAGATGATCCAATCCCACGTGGTCTTAAAAACACAGTAATGCAAGATGATGTGAGGGGGAGTCTTTGGCGCCTCTTGCTTGTATTGGGGAAGGATGTCTGAGCCCAATTGCAGGACCTGTACAGAAAAATATGGCCAAGAAAGAACGAAGTTAGGATTTAATTGCAAACATCTAACCAGTTAGCATCTGTCACTGACAAATGCTCATAATCCTCTGGATGGTTCATTGAGTATAATAACAGGAATAAGAGGAGTATGGGAAAATGGAAGTAAATATTGTAACAGAAATAATCATAATGAAACAACAAACTATTGTTTCACTTACTACGAGCCAAACATTGTAGTAAATCACACACATTTATTACCTTACTTAATTCTAAATGCAAGGTTGCTTTTTTTTTTTTTTTTTTTAAGAGACAGGGTCTTGCTCTGTTCCCCAGCCTGGAGTACAGTGACACAATCATACCTCACTGCAGCCTCAAAATCCTGGGCTCAAGTGATCCTGCTGCCTCAGCCTCCAGAATAGCTGGGACTATAGCCACATGCCACCACGCACAACTACAACTTTGATTTACTAGACAATTATTATTCTATATGACTAGTGATAAACTGAGGCTCAAAAAATTAATAAACTTTATTCGATGACTATTTATTGCTCAGATTTTACCCAACAGTTGCAGAATATACATTCTTCTCATCAGCATATGGAACACTGTTCTATGATTGACCATATGTTGGTTCACAAAACAAGTCTTAAATTTTTTAAAAATTAAATTCATATCAAGAATCTTTCCTGACCACAACAGAAGAAAAACAGAAATCGATAACAAGTGGAATTTTATAAACTTTACAAATAAATGGAAATTAAATAACATCCTCCTCAATGACCAATGGATCAATACAGAAATTAAGAAGGAAATTTAAAAATTTCTTAAAACAAATGAAAATGGAAACACAACATACCAAAACCCATGGGATATAGAAAAATCAATACTAAGAGGAAAATATACAGCAATAAACACCTACATCAACAAAGTAGAAAGATTTCAAATAAACAATCTAATGATGCACCTCAAGGAACTAGAAAAGAACAAATCAGATCCAAAATTAGTAGAAGGAAAGAAATAATAAAGATCAGAGCCAAAATAAATGAAATTGAAGCTTAAAAATACAAAAAAAAAAGCAATGAAAGGATAAGCTTGTTTTTGGAAAAGATAAACAAAATTGACAAATCTTTAGCTAGACTAAGAAAAATAGAGAAATCCCAAATAAATAAAATCAGAGATTAAGAAGGAGATATTACAACTGATACCACAGAAATACAAAGAACCATTAGAGACTATTATGAACAACCATACACTAACGAATCAAAAAACCTAGAAGAAATGGATAAATTCCTGGACACATACAACCTACCAAGATTGAACCAGGAAGAAATAGGAAACCTGAACAGACCAATAACAAGAAATGAAGGTGACTGAATCGATAATAAAAAAAAATCTACCAGAAAAAGAAAAGCCCAAGACCAGATAGCTTCACTGCTAAATTCTACCAAACTTTTAAAGAAATACTAGTACCAATTCTTCTCAAATTATTCTAAAAACTGAAGGGGAGGGCATTCTTACAAACTCAGTCTACAAGACCAGCATGACCATGATACCACAAGCAGATAAGGACATAACAACAAAAAAGAGAGAACTACAAGCTACTATCCCTGATGAGCATAGATGCAAAAATCCTCAACAATATGCTAGCAAACTGAATCCAACAGCAGGGATTTATCCAGGGATGGCTCAACATACATAAATCAATAAATGCGATACATCACTTCAACAATATGATGGGAAAAACCATCTGACCATCTCAGCACAGAAAAAGCATTTGTTAAAATTCAATATCCCTTGATGATAAAAACTCAACAAATTAGGTATAGAAGAAATGTATCTCCAAACAATAAAGGCCATATATGACAAAACCACAGCTAACATCATACTGAATGGGGAAAAGTTGCAATCCTATCCTCTAATATCTGGAAAAAGACAAGGAAGCCTATTTTCAGCATTTTTATTCCACATAGTACTGGAAGTCCCAGCCAGTGCAATCAGGCAACAGAAACAAATAAAGGGCATCCAAATTAAGAAAGAGGAGGTCAAATTGTCCCTGTTTGCAGATACGATCTTGTACTTAGAAAAACATAAAGACTCTACCAAAAAACTGTTACAACTGATAAACAAATTCAGTAAATTTTTAAGATAGAAAATCAACATGCAAAAATCAGTAGCGTTTCTATACACCAATAGCAAACAATCTGAAAAAAAAATCGAACGAGAAATCCCATTTACAATAGCTACAAAAAAAATACACAAGGCCGGGCACGGTGGCTCACGCCTGTAATCCTAGCACTCTTGGAGGCCGAGGCGGGCGGATTGTTTGAGCCAGGAGTTCGAGGCCAGCCTGAGCAAGAGCGAGACCCCATCTCT